CCCCAAAACCCCAAAACCCCAAAACCCCAAAACCCCTATTTATTAAATAAATATTGAATCTCTGATATTAATGGAAAGTGGCAGTCTCCTTGATCCGAATAAGAGGTCTTTTGGGAAACCTCGTCCCTCCAAAAGAATGAGTAGGAAGGTCATCATGAAAAGAAGTATGACTCCCGTATTAATTTTGTTTCTTTTCTCAATTGTATCTTTCTAATCTTAGAAGATAATATCGTTTCTTAGATAGACTTGGCTCCTCAGATTCAGAAGAAGTGAAGAGTATAGTGTCAAAATAACAACGTTGCAAGAAGGCAAAGTCAATATGTGCAACTAAGATCAAAGAAGCAATTCTCCTCTTTTGAAATTGCTTTGAAGAACAGAGGGTATATGGAAAAATAAGAATAAAGTCCAGAATTCTAATGAACAGAAATATAGATTTATGGATAAGGTACTCTGGCAGACTTTATTTTAGATGAATAAATTCTATGGAGATAAGACTTATGATGCCTTAAAAGATCACGAATGCACTTTAGTCAATTATCAGGAAAGAAAGAACCAGAATGTAATAATTTCACTTATTACAATGTAGAACTGGAAGAGAATTTCAAACCTCATTTTGAAAGATTCAGAAAATAAGCTTGTTAAATCAGCAAGAATAATTAAATTGCAAGAGAACATTAGAAAAACATCTCAAAGAAAAAGCTTTAAATAAATATGAGAAAGTAATTGCACGACTTCATGCATAGTTTTTGAAGATAAACATCGATCCGGATAAAGTAAAATAAATATTTAACTCTTCCAGGAGCCTCAGGTTACTAAGAAAGATTCATTATTGTCAAGTAAATTAGGAAAAAACTGTAGGCTTTTTACGCAGACCAGGCATGATTTTTTCTCCGAAAAATAAAAAGAATCATCAGAAGACCAAATTTAAAAGAACTAAAGAAAAATCACGGTAAGTAACCAATAATATCAAGGATCTTACTTGAGAAAATGAAAATAAGATATGGAAGCAACTATATAAAAGAAGAAGAGTATCAACCAGATTATGAACATAAAGTTCAAATCTTTAAAAGCTATGATAATTTGCAGCAATATTTTAATTCTCCTCATCAAGTTTATACCAAAAGGTAAAACATTAGCATTATACTAAATAGAGATAATACTGAGGCTAAAAGATTGAGCAAAGGAAGAAATATAGCAGGATCAGCCGAATGCTTGATTCCAAAACCTATGATCTCTAAACCCTCGCTGTCGAATATTATTTGAAAGAGTGAAAGAGTAATTACTTTGAATCTATATTTAGAAAATCAAAGAGGGTTATTCAAGTCATAACTTCTCAAAAGGATTCTTTCGAATGAACTTAGAAAACCAAGTCAAACATTTCAAAAATATTGTGAAAAAATCTTTAACTGCAAAGAGCTTGAGGAAATAAAAAATGGGTAGAGACCGATTTATTTCAGTGCAATTTGATGAATAGAAGTTTAATGAATTAAATAAATTAAATATTTCAACGATATTTTAAGATAAAGGGGTTTTGGGGTTTTGGGGTTTTGGGGTTTTGGGG